TTAAAAAATAATAAAATTTATAAAATGCTGTAATACTGCAGGGAGACCCGCAGGGGAAAGTCCACTTATACTGTACTGGTACTTCTGGGCCTCCTTACATTCACAGTTGGAGTTAGCCATCTGATTGCCTAGAAGCAATTACATATATTTTTAAAAACTATATTTTTCAAATACAGTCATCAGCTGATTTGACTATGAGAGATAGGAGATGAGAGATAGGCTCAGCTAGCAGTTAATCCTGTACAACCTGAGAGTGTAAAGTGGTAAAAAAGTGCTTGCTAGAGAACAGTCACATAAAATCAAGTAAAAGCAAGGTAGAGTATATATGGCCTATGTATTAATAGTATCTCTTTTAAAGACTCTTCACATTCTAAAGTGGTGTTTACAAGAAGAATATCAGAAGGTTTTTTTATGCTTTGCTATTTTTAAAATTGATTTACCCATTAATTTAATGAAAATAATTCTCTTTAAATACGCTTTCAACATATGCTGTCATTAAAAAAATTAATTTCAAAAACTGTACGAAGCTATTAATTCTCTCTTTAAGATTTGAGCAAATGTCGACTGTGTGTGTTCTTCAGGCAAAAGAATCAAAAGATTGACAAGTGGGTCAAATAGGGTTTTCTGAGAAACATACCTACAAATATCTTGGCTATTGTGATATGAAATGGCATGTGCCATAGTAAATCCATCATCTTTCAATCTAGTCTACTTGGTGTAATGAATATCTGTGGGCATTACCTTCCAGAATGGACAGATCCGTAGATAATGATCAAACCTGTATATGCTTGCATTGTAAGACATAAGGAAGGCAATTTTTGATTTACAAGGATTTTTTTAAGGTGAATTGAGGATTTTATTATTTCATGGCTGGATGAACATCTTAAGAAATTTGCCAGTGTCAGCACATGAACATAAATCGAAAATACGCATGAATATTCTTCCATGAGAAACCCTATGATAACTGGATTCATTTTTGAACCCATGTGGGCACCCTGATTACCAGGGTTGAGTGCTGTGCCATAATACTTTTAAATATTAGGATGGGAAAATTATGGCATGCTTGTCAAGAGCAGATGATGTGTCAGCCCAAGATCTATGTGCGAAAACTTTCTCATGGGTACAATGTCTTGCAATGATTTTCTTAAAGGGCAAGTATTTTAAATGACACACATACTCAGAATTTTGAGGAGACTTTTCAAGAGGGTTCCCTGAATAGAGTTGAGCAGACACCTGGATGTTCAGGTTCGGCAGGTAGGCTGAACTTCGGAAAAAAGTACGGGTTCGGGATCGAACTTGACCCCGAACTTGACCCCGAACCCCATTAAAGTCAATGGGGACCAGAACTTTTGGGCACAAAAATGGCTCTAAAAAAGTCCTGGAAAGGGCTAGAGGGCTGCAAAAGGAAGTAAAATGGGAGTAAGAGTAGGACACGTGCACTGCAAACAAATGTGGATAGGGAAATCACTTAAAATAACATAAAATATGTAAAATAAGCAGCCGCTTAGTAGATAACTCCCTAATTCCCACGGTATCAGGGAGCTATCTACCAAAAGGCTGAAAGACCTAAATTGGTCTTTCAGCCGAATTTACTAAAACTGAGTAAAGATTACTTAGTATTAGTAAATTCAGCCCCTACTCGCTATACTGCGAGTAGGGGCGTGTCTAGTAAACAGTGAGCAGCCAGTGTATTTAGATAAGGGTCCCCCCTCATTATTTTTAGGATGAGTGGGTAGGTAGGGGTTATTTTTTGGGGAGAGGGGGTGACCGCGCAGGGGTAGGGGCCAGGGGGGAGGACAGTTGGTCCCCCCTAAATTCTTATTTATGGCCCCCACCCACCGCTCAGTGGTAGGGGCTGGGGGGGAGAACAGTAGGTTCCCCCCCCTTATTGTTATTTAGGGCTCCGACCTGCCGCGCAGGGGTGGGGACCAGGGGGGAGAACAATAGGTCCCCCCCTTATTTATATTTAGGGCCCCCACCCACTGCTCAGGGGTGGGGGCCAGGGGGTAGGACATTAGGTCCCGCCTTTAGTTTAAAAGCACGGGTGGGGGCTCAGGAGGGGGGAATGTTTTTTGGTTTTTTTTTAACAGTGAGCAGCCACAGGCAGTATAGTGAGTAGGGGCATAATTTAATAATACTAAGTAACCAGCTTATATAGAGGCTGGGTCACATGCTGCACTGGTCAATCACAGCCATGGCATTAGTAGGCATGGCTGTGATGGCTATTAAGGGCACACCAGTCAAATGCTTGTTGATTGGCTGCCCTGCAGCCTTTCAAAACGCATCATTAAATCGCCAACCCGAACATACAATGATATGTCCGTTTTCAGGTTCGGGGTCCAAAAAACGTAATGTTTAATACGAACCCGAATGTTTAGTACGAACCCTCAACTCTACCCCTGAAGGATCACATCAAATTAAAAAGTCAGGAAAAGTTCCTATATCAGTAGTGCTCCACACGATTCGAGACTGTTGGCTGGTATACTCCACATAAAGGAATGCAGCCAAGGCACCACATAAAGTCAAGGGCACAAATCATAATAATTCGTAAAAATTTAGGAGCAAGAATTTGCTTGAGCATTTTTCAGTTCAGAAATCATTGAATTATTGATTCGGGTGCAATATTACACATTTGCTAATATTCTAATTAAAAATAGTTATACAAGAATTTTACAGAGCATTGCAATGGCATCAAACTGTCTACATTTAGAAAATACTCCCCCAATGAATACATTAATTTTTCATACATATATTTATTGGGGGATGTATATTAAAAGAACTTGCAAAAGGTGCAGTTCATATGAACCGTGGCCTTAGTAAGCCCTCCCCTAATAGTTTTCTCTATGGGGAAATAGCTTACCTGTGCACTCATGTGTGTGCAGATGTGCACGCTGGCTCACCCACATGTGTGCCTGTTCAGTGGTCTGTGGATACTTTCTGAAGACAATGGTCTAAGCTGTGTGTGGGAGGAGGCAGGGGTACTCAAGTAGAGGGGAGCTAACAGAAGGATGATGCAAACCTTCCTGGCTGTTTGACTGAATTAATTTTATAATTTATTTCTAAAAGTGCTGATTTCTCCTAAATTAGATACTCCTCACCCATAAGGTACTTAAGCAAGCCACAGTGCTTTGGGTGGAGTGGATAATGGTGTATTTGTATTCAACGCACAAGAAGAAAAGTTCAACATAGCCAAAAATTGATCAAACTGTATATATCTGTGGCATAAGAGACTATGTAGATAAAAAAATGACTTTAATATAATTTCTGATCTACATAGTAAATGTTTGGCAAGAGGAATAGAGATAAAACATTGTTAGATGGATCACAGCAGAGAAGCATGTGAATGTTGTCTAATAAGGAAAGGTAGAAGGCCCCCTATTCCAAAACAGAATCAAAGATACACAATAAGGCCTCTGCAGCTTATTCACTCAGATATATGTGGTCCAATACAGCCTATGTCTTGTGGGCATTATAAGTATATACCAGTGGTTCACAAACTTTTTAGATTCAAGGCACCCTTAATAAATCAGTATTTTTCCGAGGCACCCCAAGTCAAAATTTCCAGGTTACATATCTGTACAGCGCTGTGGCATTTACTGGCGCTATAGGTTAATGTACAGCGTTGGTGTTTGAAGGGTTGCTTGTATATAGTTATTGTGTTTTAATATAGGGGTATGTTTGTATGTAATGTTCACTTTTAAATGGGGATGTACATTTGTGCGAAGTATTTTTTTTTATTAAAGGGGTGTGTTTGTATATATTTTTTGTTTGAATGCAGGGGTGTGTATTTTAATATTTGAGTTAGATTGCAGGAGTGTGCTTGTATGTTGTGCTAGTGTTTGACTGCTTGGATGTATGCACATACACTACCACATACATATATACTCACACAGATATTCATGCACATTAACACACAGATGCATATAAATACACCGACACATACACACAAATTCATATAGACACCGACACATATAGATACAGACACATACACACACACACACACACACATAGATACACACCGACAAATACACACGCACCCTGACACACAAAAACATTTATATATGTCCACACAGATAGACGCACTGACATAAAAACATACACCCTGACACACAGATGCACTTACACAGAAGCACACTGACATATATATATATACTCACACACACACACACACACACTCACAAACACCCAAACACACACACACACACACACACTCATATACATACACACACTCATACTCACACTCAAACTCATATACACACCCATACACACACTCATACACACACACACACACACACTCATACACACACATACACACACACAAACTCATACTCATACTCATACACACACTTATACTCACACCTACAAGTGATTTGCAGCAGGCAATGGAAGCGCTCTGAGTGATATTGGTCAGGATGGAGCAGCGGTTCCAGCTGGTGACACGTTGGGTGAGTTGTACCCCATCCCGAGGGGTCACAAGTCCAGGAGCAGCAACCGGGTGGTTTGAAGGTGGGCGCCTGGCACCCAGGCTATGGCAAGATCCCCTAAAGACAGTGGGCATCGACGGGCTTCTCCTAGTAGGTCTCGGGAGCAAAGTTTCTCCAGGGTGTTGCTTCGCAAGTCGTGTCTAGATTGCCTAGCATGGGTAGAGGCGGCCGTGGGAGAGAGCCCAGGGAGGTGTACCCGAGTTGGGACATGGGTAGGGGGGCTTCCACTCCTATTAGATCCCCTTCATGGGTGGACACAGAGCGCTGCAATCAGGCATACCACGAAATGGAGTGGCCATAGTGAGCAAGCGGGCCCCCATGGTGGGGGGTCCCACAGGTTGTCTGACCTGGAGCATAATTTGGGATCCCCCGTTAGGGCTACTGGCCGCAGGCGCAGTAGATCAGACTCATCTAGCGGAAGTTTCAGGGGGGAGACTGTGGAACGCTGCTGGTGGGGAGCAAGCATGGCCACACGTGGCCAGGCGCAGAGAGGACAAGGATTTTCCCGGGTCCCAGCGAGAGAGTAGGGTGCCCCGGTATCAGTCGGATGACCTACCCAGAGTTTTTTCTTGTTCTAGGTCGCCAAGATGGTCGCCCACGGTAGGGTGAGGACTCGAGAGGTGGAGCTACGGCTGGGGGAGCTGTCGTGCCCGGGCCTGGACAAAGGCAGATGGGACATGGCCTCACGACCTTCACCTTCAGTGGTTCCGGCGGTAAGTTATATGCTGTTAAACCTTCTAGGGACCTTTTACAGGGCCTAAAGTCTTTTCTGGGCTCATGGAGTGGGGGTTCGGGGGCCAGCATTAGCTTTGGGCAGGTGTGGGCGTCTAGGCAGGATAGGGCGGGGGCGGAGATGGTGGCGGTTCCATCATTGGAGATTATTGGCAGCTCTGACAGGGGCATGGGGGTTCCGTCAGTGATGGCCACAGGTGACTTAGGAGTGGAGAGAATGTTCATGTCTCCTTCTCAGGGCCCTTGGGGTGAAACGTAGGTGAAAGAGAGAATATGGAAAGGGGAATTTGTGGAGGTTTTTTTCTCTTCTTCCTCTGGATGAATACTTGGACATGAAGGAAGAGGGTAAAAAAGATGCCAAGAAGGAGGAAGAAGAGAAAGAGCGCTGTTATCGGAAAATGCCAAAGACGTTTGGGAATTGGTTGAGGGCATTCTGCATTCTCGCGAGTGTTGTGGGGGAGAAATCCCGGGAGTGCTGCTAGCAGTTGTTCTGCTACTTGGATGGGATCTGGAAGGCTTACCGCAACTACAGAGGCTTGGCGTGGTGGCGGTACGACGAGCAGTTTCAGCAGAGACTGTCGGTCAATCTGGGCATGACATGGGACCGGATGGGCCTGCCGCTGTGGATGAAGCTCATGATGGCACAGAAGGCATACCCCTTTCAGCCCAGGGCCAGCGTGGGATCTTCCTAAAGGGTTCTGCTGGAGTTTAACGAGGGGCAGTGTAAGTGGGGCTCAACGTGTCGTTTCAAACACGAATGCTCCGGGTGTGGAGGTGCGCATGGGTACAACTGGTGCTTCAAGAAGCGTAAGTCCTTCTCTGCGGGAAGAATGGTGGAGGGTGCAGGGGCACCCACTGCTGCTGGGGCGGTCACCGGTGTCATGATTTGCTGGGCTGCTTTTTTGAAGGGCAGTATGTCGTCAATCTGTGTTTACCGATGGGGAGTTCCATCTCATTTGCGTACTTCGAAAAGTTCAGGACTTTTCTAGAGTGGGTGGGTAATACGAGGCGGGCACGGGATTTGTGGTCCATTACCTAGACAATTTCTTTTGTGTCGGGCTGGCGAGTTCGGAGGTGTGCTGCATAGGGTTGAGAACTTTTGAATGGGTCGTGAATGTCTTTGTAATACCGCTGGCGAGTGACAAGATGGTGGGGTAGACTACTTGCTTGTCCTTCCTGGGCCTGGAGATAGATTCGGTCCCGGGGGAATGTTGGTTACCGGAGGACAAGTTGATGGCTCTGCGAGAGGCGGTGGCGGAGGTCTGGGATGCCTAGAAGGTTATTTTACGGGTGCTTCAGCCTTTGGTGGGCCAGCTCAACTTTGCGTGCCAGGTGCACCCGGTAGGAAGGGTGTTCAACAGATTCCTCTCAAGGGCAAACAGTGGGGTAGTGTCACCGCATCACTTCATTCGGGTGTCAGCATCCATGAATGCCAATCTGGATGTGTGGCAGGTTTTTCTAAGGGATTTTAATGGGTGGGTGTATTTCTGGGAGCCCACGCGAACTTCAACGGTTTTGGAGTTGTTCACGAACGCGTCAGGGAGCATCGAGTTTAGGGCTTATTTTGTTGGGCATTGGTGTGCTGAGCCATGGATGGAGGAGTGGAAAGCCAGCCCACTCATCTGCAACTTGGTGTTTCTTGAATTCTTCCCTTTATTGGTGACGCTGGCATTGTGGGGTAACAGCTGAGGAACAGAAAAGTTATCTTTTTTACTGACAACTTGTCGGAGGTGGAGGCTGTTAATGGTTTATCGGCTTCTTCTATCCCTGTTATTCGGCTCCTTCTCTGCTTTGTTCTTTCCTGCTTGCAGTTTAATGTTGTGTTCAGGGCACGGCACGTGCCGGGGCTGTTGAACGTGGTGGCTGATTCACTCTCTCGTTTTCAGTGGGAACAGTTTCAGGCAGCAGCTCCGGGCACACAGAGGGAAGGAGTGTGGACGTGTGGCAGCTCAGGACATCTTGCTTGGCGGACTCATAAGGGGGTCGTTGACGCTGTCCACATGAGTGGCCTATGTCAAGGTTTGGCGAGAATGGAATGCTGCAATGGTGTATGTGGGAGGTAAAAATTCTGAAGGATTATCAAAGGTTGAGGCAGATGGCCCCTGGCATGGTTGTCATATGGTCGGCAGTACTATCAGGCAGATGAGATACCAGTTAATATTTCAACAAAACCCTTGCCAAGAAATAATGTGAATAGGGGCATGTCTGCTAAACAGTGAGCAGGCTGCTCACTGTTGTAAAAAAAAAGCCCCCTCCTTCCAACCAATGCCCATGGTCCGGCATCTATTAACTAGTGGTGGGGACATAGTTCCCCCCCCAGCCCCCACCCGTGCCCCGCAAGTGGGGGCTATACAACTAAACTATTGTCATTTAGGGCCCCCAGCCACCTGTTGTGGAAATAAGGTCTACACATATTTCCTAGTTAGTGAAAAATGTCTATTTACTCATTTCACGATATATATATATATATATAGCTAAGCACACACGTTATAATCAAGATGGCTGCTGGAAGCTTCTAGCTCCTTCCCCCTCCCCCTTTCTTTCTCCCTCCTAACATCGACTAACTACCTCGTGCACCAAGATGGCGCCGGGAAACCGTGGGAGATTCTCATGGCCCCGGTGACATCACCTACAGTAGGCAGAGCATTGAAGCAACCACTTAACACCTAACCAATTATTGATGTATTATTCCATGTTATCTCTGACAATGCTTATGATGTAATTTTGCTTTAAAAGGGACTTGCCGTCCCCTCTGAATAAACTTTCCTCAAGTTATTCAACAACCTAGAACCTGTGTCTGGTGTGAATTACTTCAGGGAGCGTGCACGCATTATTTCATTGATTTGGCCAGGGGCAGATACACAAAGAAATAATCAATACTTTAATTGATTTTTCCACTTCAATTGGCGCCCAACGTGGGGCCCACCGGAGAGCCGGTTCGGAGGGCCGGAACCAACGGACCGGAGCGGACCTCCGGAAAGTGGGACAAGCGGAGCCTGATCACCTCCATAATACAGCCGTTGCCTGTGTTATTCTCCTGTTTTGTGCCGGTCTGTCTCCGAGTCCACTTCCGGCTTCCAGAAGGCTACTAGAGACAGGTAATTAACTCATCCGGTGCGCCCTTTTTAAGTGAACCTGTCGATTGTCTATCTGCCTCCTGTATTCATTTATGTGTGTGTGTTTATTATACCATTTTATATGTTTGCTTGACTGCCTAGCGGGCAGGGAACGCATTTTATATGTTTGCTTGACTGCCTAGCGGGCAGGGAACGCATTTTATATGTTTGCTTGACTGCCTAGCGGGCAGGGAACGCATTTTATATGTTTGCTTGACTGCCTAGCGGGCAGGGAACGCATTTTATATGTTTGCTTGACTGCCTAGCGGGCAGGGAACGCATTTCAGCCAGGGGGCTGGGTTTTTATGTTAGCTTGACTGCCTAGCGGGCAGGGAACGCATTTCAGCCGGTGGGGCTGGGTTTTTATGTTAGCTTGACTGCCTAGCGGGCAGGGAACGCATTTCAGCCGGTGGGGCTGGGTTTTTATGTTAGCTTGACTGCCTAGCGGGCAGGGAACGCATTTCAGCCGGTGGGGCTGGGTTTTTATGTTAGCTTGACTGCCTAGCGGGCAGGGAACGCATTGCAGCCGGTGGGGCTGGGATTTTTGTTTGATTATTGCAGTATTTCCTTTGGTACCAGTGTTTTGCCGGGACCAGCCTGGTGGGTGAAGGCTGGGGATTGTTATACCCTGAATATCTGACACCGGTGGTGTTAACATGTACATGGCTATTTTGCTCTCTATCATTCTGTGGTTTCTGTTTAATTGTTGTTACAGTGTGGGTACCCTTGGTGTGTGTGTGTGTATTGTGTGGTTAGTTCTGGATTCCGGAGTTTACACTCATTTGTATGTTTGTGATTTTTGCAAATGTCTTCTCATTAGCGCAGCCACGTTCATTTTCTCCTTTGTTCTTTATCTTTCCTGTGCCTGTTGCCCAGAGCTGTGTTAGTCACCCACGCTCATTCGCTCCCGTCCGTGACCACCACCCCGGGTGGGCGGATCTCCGTGACTGGTCTACGTTTGAGGAAGACGCACGGGGCTCAAGTTCTCGTGGCAGTCGAGCACTGTAGACATTCTTTTTTCCCTTATACTTTCTCTACTTCTTTGTCTTTCACGTGTGGCACGCTTTGGTTACTCAGAAATGGGACAGGAACACGCTAGACCTGCTAAGGGCTTGCTAGCTTGTGACATTGTGAAAGAAAGGGCAGGGAAAGATGCAATGTTGAAACTTAAAAAGATTGCTAAGGTGTGTGGCTTCCAGATGTTGCCTAGTGGGAGATTGCAGCCTGAGTTTTGGAGAAAGCTACTCATAGACAAGGAAGGGTTGTTGTTGGATAATGGACTTACGAAGGTTGCAGAGGCTTGGTATCGGGTAGCTAGAGGTTTGAAACGGGAAGGATGGGTCGAGGAAGAACTGGAGTTCGAGGGCCAAATTGTGTATGTTTATCATAGAAGTGTTCACAATGATGATGTTGTTTCTATTGTTCCACGACCACCGCCCTATGATGGCGCCCGGAGCGCAACACTTAATTCCCGCCCTGCTTCTCCCGTCACAGCACAAACCCCACCCTCCGGGGGTGTGCCTTCAGCTCCCACTCCCCTGTGCCCCGTACTTGGTGTGGATGGTGCTTACTATTATCCAGTCCCACTTCACTCATTCCCACCTACTCCCATGCCTCAACCCTCCTATGACCCAACCCCTTCCATCAGCCATCCTTCCATCATGCCTGCCGAAGCCCCTCCGCCTTCATGTCCTTCGCTACCTCTCCCAGTGACCATCCCCACTCCGGACCCTGCCATGGCTTTCCCCACCTTACCCATTGAAGTCCCACCTTCCTCCTCCGCTTCCCTCTCAACCCCGAGTACCCCTTCCCTAGTAACTCCCGTTCCCTCACCCTCTCCGTCTATTACACATCCAACTCCCCTGACCCATACCCTTTCCACCGGCCCTATTCCTCCGGATCTCTGTCTCCCCGCTGACCCAGGACCCCTCCCTCCCACGGCCAATTTGCCGTCCCTAATCTCTGCCCTCACCGCCCTGACCCAACCCCCTGTTACCACCTCTCCATCCCCTTCTCCAGTGTTACCTCCTCCTCCCGAAGTCCCAGCCCCCTCTACCTCGTTACCCCTCCCTCCCACGGCCAATTTGCCATCCCTAATCTCTGCCCTCACCGCCCTGACCCAACCCCCTGTTACCACCTCTCCAACCCCTTCTCCAGTGTTACCTCCTCCTCCCGAAGTCCCAGCCCCCTCTACCTCGTTACCCCTCCCTCCCACGGCCGATTTGCCGTCCCTAATCTCTGCCCTCACCGCCCTGACCCAACCCCCTGTTACCACCTCTCCATCCCCTTCTCCAGTGTTACCTCCTCCTCCCGAAGTCCCAGCCCCCTCTACCTCGTTACCCCTCCCTCCCACGGCCGATTTGCCGTCCCTAATCTCTGCCCTCACCGCCCTGACCCAACCCCCTGTTACCACCTCTCCAACCCCTTCTCCAGTGTTACCTCCTCCTCCCGAAGTCCCAGCCCCCTCTACCTCGTTACCCCTCCCTCCCACGGCCGATTTGCCGTCCCTAATCTCTGCCCTCACCGCCCTGACCCAACCCCCTGTTACCACCTCTCCATCCCCTTCTCCAGTGTTACCTCCTCCTCCCGAAGTCCCAGCCCCCTCTACCTCGTTACCCCTCCCTCCCACGGCCGATTTGCCGTCCCTAAGCTCTGCCCTCACCGCCCTGACCCAACCCCCTGTTACCACTTCTCCAACCCCTTCTCCAGTGTTACCTCCTCCTCCCGAAGTCCCGGCCCCCTCTACCTCGTTGTCTACTCCTCCACTGATTGGTTTGCCGTCCCTTGCCTCCGCCAACGTTGCTCTGCCACAGCCCCTTGTTCCAATCCCTCCAACCCCTTCCCCGGAAACCCTTGACGCATCCATGCCTAATGACCTGTCTACCTCGATATCCGCCCTTTTCACTGCTGTCACTTCCCTGGTTAACTCTGCGATCCCTGCACTGCCTCCCACTGATATACTTCCTCCTCCTCCTCCTCCTCCTCCCCCGGAACCTTCGACCCCTCCCTTGTCTCCCGCTAACCTCCCCGAGCCTTCCGATCCAATCTCTGCTCTTGCTCATGTCCTAAACACCCACCTCTCACGCCCAGCCCCGCCGGCCCCCATGATGGCCCCTTCCACGGCTTTAGTTCCCGTGTCCCTTCCGCCAGCACTAGTTACCCAATCATGGTGGTTGGGTCCGAGGTGTCTGCGACTTCGGACCAGCCCTATGCGATGGGTGCCTCCCCCCAAGCCTCGGGCTTCCACCCTGCTACCTCTCCTATTACCGCCCTCCCAGTTGCCCCCGCTACAGCTACCCCTGAGGCTACTCTTCACCGTGGTCCGGTGGTGCCCGAGGAGGTCGTTGTGGTGGCCCAGAGCTCACCCCACCTGGGGGGGAAAGGCTTCCCCAACGGACACTCCATTCCCCAGGGGTATACTCAGATTAGTCATGGTGCGGATGGTGCACCACCTATGTATGTTACTTTTAACCCTTCCCAAGCCGCTACCCTTGTGACCTCACTCCCTGATCCTGAGAAACACCCCATGCCCTTTTTCCGCAGGATGGCTCAGATCCGTAAGACATATTCCGCTGCTTGGCGGGATCTTATTAGTTTATGTGAAATTAAGGCTGGAGATGCATACTGGCCAATCATGGAACGGAGCTTTAGTGACGCTCCACTTACTTCTGATACTGATTTTCGTTCTGGTGAAATTTTCTGCGAACAACTTCGCGCCTGGGCGCAGGATAAACTGGCTGACCAGGCTACTTGCATTAATGACATAATACAGGACAAACTTGAGACTGTTGAAAAGTATCACTCTAGGTTGACTCAGACTTTCTCGGACTTAGGGTTCAGCACTTACAATAAGGCACACACCCAGATGCTATCTGCAGCTTTTGTGGCAGGACTGAGAGAACACATTCGTAAGGGGTTGATTTTAGCTCGCCCTGAGTATAGAATTATTCCACTAGACACCCTTTTGTTGGTAGCCAAGGTTTTAGAATCTGTTTTACAACCCACACAGCGTAGGGCTAGTCCGCTGATGTACACCACCTCCACACCAGTTGCTGGTTCTAACCAAGTTCCTCAGATGTTCCCCCAACAGTACACTCAATCACCCCAGACACTGCCTGCACCAATCCCTTTCCCCCGGGACTGGACTATCACGACAATCCGGACCTGTTTTAATTGTAATCAGCCAGGCCACTTTAGAAGAGATTGCCCACAGCCTAGAGTGTTCCGCCAGCAAACTCCCCGGTACCAAAGTCCCCATGTCACTGGCTACAACTTCCCTTCCCCTGGTTACCTCCCCGCCCTTCCCCATCCGCAATTGCCTCAGCTCCCCCCACCACCACCACCTCCTCCTCCTCCTCCTCCTGAATACACTCAAGCCCGGCTCCTTGCATCAGAAGCTCGAGCATATACTTCACCCTCCGCTGAAGGGTATGACAATGATGATTTCCTAGACGGCCAACCCCGTCATACCCTCCGCCCATCCCGTCCCCCCATGCATTCTGCCAACCCTCCTTCCACTTCCCGCCGGTACCAGGGACCAGACCAGGCCCATTTGGATTTATTGCAATAGGTAACCGGCAAGCCTGTGTCAGCAACCCCTGCCATGGCAGTGTCTGCGGGGGATGGGGGGGGCCCTTTAGCTACTGTAGTTCTCCCTGTGGAGGGCCACCCCACCACTTTCCTAGTTGACACAGGTGCAGCCCGTAGTGTCCTTAGGGAACAAGACCTGCCAGACCCATCTTTCTTATCTGACACTGATGTTTCCTGTGTTGGGGTGGATGGTACACCACGCAGCAACCCCCTTACTAAGCTCCTACACGTAGGTTCACACATCCTCTCCCGATTTGTTGTTTCCTCTACCTGCCCCATTAACCTCCTAGGTGCCGATGTTCTCTCTCGGCTCCAGGCCTCCATTACCTTCACTGCAGATGGGCAGATTGAATTGACAACCCCCTTATCACAAAAGGATACCTCTGTCCTCTGTTCACTCCCTATTTTATTAAACCTAACTGACAATACAGGGGATGCACGGGTCCCACAAACCCCCAGTGCTCTGGATCGTATCCCTCAAGAACTTTGGTCCACTGGCCCGGATGATATTGGGCGATTGCATGTGCCCCCAGTCTTAGTCCAGCTCCTGCCCGGGGTACTGCCTCCTCGCAGGCCACAGTACCCTCTGAAGCCTGCACAAGCTGAAGCCATTACCAGACAAGTTGAAAGTCTCCTTGCCAAAGGTGCCCTCATCAAGTGTACATCTCCATGCAATACTCCACTTTTTCCGGTTAAAAAGAGAACTGTTAAAGGTCAGCCTGACCAGTACCGCATGGTGCAGGATCTCCGTGCTGTGAATGATGTAACCATAAAAGACTCCGCAATTGTTCCTAACCCCCACACCCTCTTATCCCAAGTCCCACCTACTTCAACAATATTCACCGTGGTGGATCTAGCTAATGCCTTCTTCAGTGTCCCCCTTGACCCTTCCTGTCGTTTCCTCTTTGCCTTTACCCATGAAGGACAGCAATACACCTGGACTGTTATGCCTCAGGGGGCTCAGAATTCCCCCACACAGTTTGCTCACACCATGTCCCTGGTGCTGGATCCCTGGCAGAAGTCTCATTTGGATGTCGTCCTGCTTCAATATGTTGATGATCTACTTCTCTGTGCTCCTGATTTGCTCATTGCAGAACGTGATTCAGAAGATCTATGTTTCCTTGCTGCAGCTGGTTGCAAAGCCTCAAAATCCAAGTTACAATGGTGCCGGCCCTCTGTGGTCTTCTTGGGACACTGCCTTTCCCATGGCACCAAACATTTAACCTCTCAACGTGTACAAGCCATTCTGCATCTTCCATTACCTGCAAATCACCAGGCTCTCCATGCTTTTCTGGGTCTTATCACGTACTGCAGGTCCTGGATACCTGAAGCATCAAAGCTCATGCAGCCACTCTATGATGCCCTCAGGAGTGAGCCCTTTCATCTCACAGAAGAAACTATTATCTGTTTCCACACTCTGAAAAGAGCTATTGCTTCTGCACCTGCCTTGGGCCTACCCAACTACCAACTTCCCTTCAACCTGTTTGTCTCCGAAAAATCAGGACATGCTTCCGGAGTCCTCACCCAGAAACATGGATCAAGACAACGCCCTATTGGCTATTTTTCCTGCATGCTTGATCCTGTTGCAAGGGGTAGCCCCTCTTGCCTCCGAGCGGTGTTTGCCGCCAGCGCTCTCCTGGACAAGACCAATGACTTTGTTCTTGGCCATCACCTCACAGTGTTGGCCCCTCACGACATTACTGCAATCCTGCAGCAAGTTCGACCTAAACACCTTTCTTCCCAACGTCACCTTCGCCTACAGACCTCCTTACTCCTACCTGATAATGTGAAACTCCAGAGATGCCTTTCCCTGAACCCAGCCACTCTTCTGCCACTTCCCAAGGGGGGAATTGTGCATCACTGGTACAGCCTGGATATCAACCCAGAGGTTCGAGCAGATTTACAGTTGCCTGTATCCACACCCCCACATGATGAACAATCAGAGGCCCTACTCCACTGTGTCTTGTGGTTTAGGGACGTACCAAGCCCTGATGTGGACTATGAGGAAGAACTATTTCAGCTCAAAGAAATTCAGATTACCCTGACTGACTTATTTTGGGACTCCACAGGTACCATGCTCATTTTGGTTCACCTTCCAAATAATGTAGCACACCTCTACCACCATTGGGAAACAGCTATCCCACACATATCTCTCACCAGATCCCACGACACCTCATGGGAGAACCTAGGCCCGATGGCCAAAACCTGGAACCAAATGACTCAAGAACAACTGACTTCTACGGGGATAAATAAAAAGACCATTAACTACTGCACAACAGGATACTCCAGGTACCACACAGAGGCCTGTGAGGACCCACCCACCATAGACTGCAATCTCATTGATATTCCTCATGACTGTTTTGAACAAATGAAAATGGAAACTACACACTTACCAACTGTTTATGAAGCTGCATTACTCAACCCAGATCAAACACTATTTGTGGATGGCTCAAGGTTTGCTGATGAACAAGGACAATACCACACTGGATATGCAGTCACCACAGGATGTCAAATATTACAAGCAGCTGCCCTACAACCAACTAAGTCTGCCCAAGAGGCCGAGTTAACAGCCTTGACTGTGGCCTGCAAACTGTCCGAAGATCTACGAGTCAACATTTATACGGACTCAAGATATGCCCTGGGAGTGGCACACGATTTTGGCTTAATTTGGAAGACCAGAGGATTTCTTACAGCCACCGGTACCCCAGTAAAACATGGGGCAGCCATTGCAGAGCTGATGGACGCATTGGAACTCCCAGCAGAAGTGGCAGTATTGAAAGTAAAAGCTCATGGAAGATTAGACACAGAAGAAGCACGTGGCAACAACTTAGCTGATCAGGCAGCCAAAGAGGCAGCACGACAAGGATGGGAAGTGGACAGAAGAGTGGCCACAGATACATTACCCATTTACACTATGCAAACATTGCCTACAGATCTCAGGCTGCTGAAGGAACAACAAGCTGCTGCCACTCCTCAGGAGAAACAAAGTTGGAAGAACAAAGGAGCAATACTCCGTGATGAAGTTTACACCATTAATCTCAAGTTCTGCCTACCTAGAAGTATGTACCCAGCGGTGGTCCAGTGGGCCCATGGGCCAGCCCACCTGTCAAAGCTCCTGATGAACTCACTGATTGACAAGTATTTTGAAGCACCAGGCATCACTACTTTAACACAGAATTACTGCAAATCTTGTACTATATGTGCTAAATGCAATCCTGGAAAGGTCATAAAGACTGCACCTAATCATCTAGCTAAACCACAATACCCCTTCCAGAGGATTCAGATTAACCACATTCAGATGCCAAAGAGCGGACGTTATGAATATGCATTGGTTATAGTGGACATGTTTTCAGGATGGCCAGAGGCCTTCCCAGTGACTAATCTCACCGCGAGGACTACAGCCAAGTACCTTTTGACAGAAATTGTTTGCCGCTGCGGGGTTCCAGAAGTAATTGAAAGTGACCAAGGGACCTCCTTCACTGCCTCGCTAACACGGGAAGTCTGGTCAGCACTGGGGGTGACCCTTGCATTCCACACACCATATCACCCACAGAGTAGTGGTAAGGTAGAGCGCATGAATGGCACTTTGAAAGCCAGAATGCTTAAAATGTCACAAGAAACTAACATGCCCTGGCCCGAGAGTCTCCCACTAGCGTTATTCAGTGTAAGGTACACTCCCAGAGGAAAATACAGTTTGTCACCCTATGAGATTTTGTTTGGTACAGCACCCAGGTTAGGTTGCTATTTTCCCCAACAGCTTCAGATTCAGTCAGACGCTATGGTAGACTATGTGACTGCCCTCTCACATGCCTTGACCAAGATACATGCCCAAGTGTTTTCTTCTATTCCAGATCCTGAGTCGAATACAGGTACACACAAGCTGCTTCCGGGTGATTGGGTTATGGTTAAGAAGTTCCTCAGAAAACACACCCTAGAACCAAGATTTGATGGTCCTTATCAAGTGCTCCTGATTAACAGCAACGTAAGTTAAACTAGCTGGGAAAAGTTCCTGGATACACGCTTCACATTGCAAAAAAGTGCCTGCTCCAGAAGAAGCTGATCCTGTTGAAACATGAATTTATTATGTGTCTTGTGTTTTCTTGTGTTGTTACACTTTGCCTAGGCCCAACAAGTGGCCATAACCAAAGATAATCACGTTTACACTTTCTGGTACAACTCTTCTAATACTGATGTGGCCACATACACCTTTGATTACTGTGACATAGTTACTTGTACATTCCCGCAGACACAACATGCAGCCATATACAAAGACATACCTAACAAAAAGGACCCATACATTTGTGTGACTGGAGGAGCCTGGGGACACCATTGTAGTTCATGGAAAGCTGCCGGGTGGAATACAGGTAGACCATGGGGCTACAGACCTCAGGTTGCACTAGACAGACTTGACAAAGACGGGAAGCCCCTACTTTCTAGAATGACTCTGAGTAAACCCACAGGGTCAACTCCCATTAAACTTACCCTAAATATAGAGCACCCTAGCCCAAGGGACGCGGGGGAATATGTGATGGGGATGTACTGGAAGGGAGGTGGCTCACTTAATGCATTGGGGACGTTTTACCTACAAGACATGCTCACCTCCCCAGACTGGGTAGGGACCACTCACATGATCGTTAACCCATTAAAACCACATATTAAGACCCTACATGACATGGTAGCTATAGCCAACCCCACCTTTGAAGACACTATGGCAGTGGAGACTGGTTTTTCAGACACTAATTTGTGGCTAGAATGGATGAGGTACAATGCCAACTCACACAATAGAACTAATTGTTACGTGTGTGGAGGAGCCAGACCCCATCTGGGCACAGTTCCTCTGAACTTACCTCCTGAAGTAGAGTCATGTGTTCTGAGTCTTTACACACAGTCCATCACCAACTCCTCAACATGTGAATCATGGAAGAGAATTTACCCGATCACTCATGGACATGTAAAACCACCTGATGGAGTCACCATCTACCCAGGTAATTACACATGTTACACAATCTCTAAGAACACCGGTTTGTATCTGGGCAAATTCCCATCAGGATACTGCTCAACTTACCATAATCCACCCATATCACTGCTGATGAATCACACAAAGACAATCGGTGATATCTACTGGTTATGTGGTGATAAACAATTGAGGTCCCAATTAACTGGGCAATGGTGGGGGGAGTGTGCCCTAACTAAAGTCATAATGCCTATCCATATCATTCCAGATGGTGACCATAACACGTTAAACCTCACACATGTACACTCTAGAACTAAACGAGAGACTCCTATCCGAGGGAGCTTCGACCCCCATGTGTATATTGATGCCATAGGTGTGCCAAGGGGGGTGCCTAACGAATTCAAGGCAAGAGATGAAGTGGCTGCAGGATTTTAATCCCTAATTCCAATGATAACTGCTAACAAAAATGTCAATTGGATTAACTACATTTACTATAATCAACAGCGCTTTGTCAACTACACTAGGGATGCCCTACAGGGCCTGGCAGAGCAACTGCAAGCCACTACCCAAATGACATTTCAGAACAGAATGGCCCTAGATATGATATTAGCTGAGAAAGGGGGTGTATGTAAAATCCTCCCTGAGACCATGACATGCTGCACATACATTCCAGACAACACTGGACCCAATGGTAAGGTGACTATGGCCATAGAAAAGCTAGATAGTCTTGCAGACGAGCTAAAGAAAAATTCAGGAGTCACTGACACTTGGGACAGATGGTTTGGATGGATGAATGGTTGGCAAAGGACCCTCTTCCAGGTGGGGACAGCTGTTCTCATAATGATCGTCATTTTCTTATTTTTGACCTGTTGCATATTCCCCTGCATACAGAACTACTTACAGAAAGTGGTAGACAAGACTATAGATGGCGTGACCCCTACTTTCATACACCAAGACATCACAGACCTCGAAGATGATACTCCACATACACCCCTTCAATCACATCAGTTCAAACAAACAACTGCTTTCCTGTAGGGACAGTATAGGGAAAGCGTCTGTCTTGGCAGGCGAGTCTCACGTGTGGAGATGTGGTGGACTAGCCACCGCGGGTTACCCACGGAGTGAAGTGTTCGATGCTTGTTAAGACAGATGAGCTGCAGGCAGCTAGGGACATATTAGGGACAGTAGCAGTTGTTATGGTAAATAGCCATTTTAGGGGGGACTGTTGTGGAAATAAGGTCTACACATATTTCCTAGTTAGTGAAAAATGTCTATTTACTCATTTCACGATATATATATATATATATAGCTAAGCACACACGTTATAATCAAGATGGCTGCTGGAAGCTTCTAGCTCCTTCCCCCTCCCCCTTTCTTTCTCCCTCCTAACATCGACTAACTACCTCGTGCACCAAGATGGCGCCGGGAAACCGTGGGAGATTCTCATGGCCCCGGTGACATCACCTACAGTAGGCAGAGCATTGAAGCAACCACTTAACACCTAACCAATTATTGATGTATTATTCCATGTTATCTCTGACAATGCTTATGATGTAATTTTGCTTTAAAAGGGACTTGCCGTCCCCTCTGAATAAACTTTCCTCAAGTTATTCAACAACCTAGAACCTGTGTCTGGTGTGAATTACTTCAGGGAGCGTGCACGCATTATTTCATTGATTTGGCCAGGGGCAGATACACAAAGAAATAATCAATACTTTAATTGATTTTTCCACTTCACCACCGCTCATGGGTGGGGGTTGGGGGGAGGACAATAGGTCCCCCCCATTGTCCTTTAGGGCCCCCCACCCGCCACTCATGGAATAGCCCCAACTCGCGGGGCATGGGTGGAGGTTTGGGGGGACACTATGTCCCCCCTCTAGTTAATAGTTGCTACACCATGGGGCATGGGGCCATTTTTGGGGGGGAGGGTGCTTTATTTGTTTTATTTTTTTACAACAGTGAGCATCCACAGGCTGCTCACTGTTTACTAGACATTCCCCTAGTAGGGGCAGATTAATTACTAATACTAAGTAATCTTACTTAGTATTAGTAAAGTTGGCTGAAAAATCAATGTTGGTCTTTCAGCATTTTGGTAGATAGCTCCCTAATACCGTGGGAATTAGGGAGCTATCCACTAAGCGTGTGCAAAATGCAGCCACAGCATGGATCGGATCGGAATTTAATTAATTTGAATGAAATTTGGAACCAACCTAAAAGTACCGAATGTCAGCCTAACATGAATGAACAAACTGTTCTCATTCTGTTAGGACGAAATTCAGTAGTTTTTCAGTCTAAATGACAGGACGTTCGGGAATAGTGAATGCACGAATCACAAGTTCACGGAGGAAAGGGTGAGTATTGTGGTAAAATTTCTCTAAACCCATTGAGCTGGTCATGCGTAGGAAAAATGCATAAGACAAAGTAGTACTTTGTCTTATGTTTTAAAGAAAACTAGAGCAAATAGGAAAAAAAGAACAGATTCTGAGAGAGGGAGAGAAGAGGAAGCTATTAGGGAAAGGTAAGTTCGGCATGACTGTGCCGCTTTAAAGTTAAATTTAGTAGGTTCTAATTGTGTACCACTCAAAAAGGGTATTGCTAGTTATAATCACTGGTGCCTAGTCTGGATGTGTGGGAGAACTTGCTGTTGCTGGTGATTTGCCATTGTCTGTCCTAACTGGTCTCTGTGGTGCTGGAGAGGAGGTTTTGTGACTTCTTGTCTTGCCCCATTTCCTCCCTCTCTTGATATTTAGCCATTTTGCTTTTAAGACCTCTATATATGTGCCCTGGCCTCTACATGCTACTGCTGTGCCAATACAACGCTACTAAATTTCAACACTAAAAATGTCTAAAAACTATGCAAGTGTGTGTTGCTCTCATCCGACAATATGATAATGCATCATTTAAAAGACACAGGGAAGGGAATTATTGAAAAAAAAAAAAATTGTATTCCACTTAATTAAAATCCTTGAGGGGTTAAACTGCTGTTCACCATTCCTTTTACTCAGTCAACTAAATGAGACATCTCCCCTTCTAGATCCTCACAGCTAGATTGTTTAAGCAGGGCCCTCTTCACCTACTTTATCTGTCAACGTGTATTTTCTCTCTCATTTACTTGCTGTTATATATCCCTACTGAATAACTGTAGATGCTAATAAAAATAATAATGATAAATAATAATAATCTGACTTATTTGAACCATGTGATGCTTAATTGGCATGGACAGGAAGGACAAAACAGCAATTTTGTTTATACATTTACATTTCTAATTTATGTGTTCATCCTTTAGAGAATTATTGGAAAAATGCAAAGCGCTTGCATGGCATGCTTCATTATACAAGGTCTAGAAATATTATTTTGTTATGTACAATAGATGTGACAAAAAGAGAAATACAAATGGTCAATTAACCTGTTTATCAGTATTTGTAAGACACCACATTTTAAGGAATAATAACTTTATATCATCATAATGCTTACAGTAAATACAATCATACTAAGTATTTGTAGGATACAAGCATTTACAGGCTGTGACTGAACGTCTATAGTGGTCTAAGTACTTTACTCAGAGCCTGCTCTCTTTTACTACTGAGCTGTGAAGCATGACTTCCACCAGTATTTGCTTTATTTTGTGTGAGGAGCCATTTACAAGTCATTTGTTGAGATGCAGAGGGACATAATTGAACGCTGAATGAGCAACTTGTTTCTGTGGAAGGTGAACAGCAGCACTGGAGCAAACAAGAATGCAAGTGGAGTTTATGAATTAAATTTCCTTTTTTTCAATGCAAAATTAAATTTAGTTCATGTGTAGAAATTGTTGAGAGGGGATGAACAATATAAGGTTCATCCAATAAAAACACAAGTTTAATACAACCCTACCCTATAATAAGTACTATAACAAAAATAAATGTAGACACAGATACAAAACTGATTTAAAATTAAAATGTTAACTATAAAGTAATAACTGTCCATTAACTATGCATGATAAGAGTCAATACTATTCTTTCCTGACACATACACTTTGATTTATGATTTTATATAAAAACAATTGAGCAGTGATACAGTTCCTTTAAATCACACTGTGCAAATAGTGTTATCGGAGAATATACAATTGCATGCAAACTATTCAGCCGTTTTGGCAGTTTTGTAATGCACCACATTCTGCTAGTGGTTCTGCTATTTTGGTGGAGTTTTTGGTAATTGAAATACACCCATACTTTAGCCCACTGACATGTTCTGACATTTTCCTATCAACTGTGATCCACTTTTTTCTCCTACATAGGAAATCCTCAAACACATTGACCCTTTCCTAATAACCTTGTGCAATATTTTACTTTCTATTGTGTCTTGTGCAATATGCCTGCTTATTCACAGTAACATCTTCTGCAAATTCTATATTCAGACACGACCCCTGTCCGCAGAACACTTGCTTTGTGAGAAACGAATTTGCCCAAATTTGCTCATTCCTACAGAATTTCTGCTGCGGTCCATTCCCTCCATGCTTATTTTTTTTCCATTTGTAGTGTGGTTTATTTATTTATTTCCAAACAGAATTTAACATAGAGAGATGAAAATAGAAAAGATTAAAAGATTAAAGAGCGCCGGGGAGAGTGGCCCTCTCTAATATAGGAGCCGTCTGTTGCTCTCCCCACTCGCATGCTTTCTACCTCTCTTTCTTTCTCATTTTCTTCCTCCTACTACTTCTCTCTCCATGATATTTTTCTCTACGCTATTTCTATAGAACTCGATCCCTCCTGTGTTTATATTATATCGTGTAATATGGCAGATTCTTGGGCATGGAAGCAATTTGTTCCTGCAAACACCCTCCCTGCTCACGTACATGCAGCATATGCAAGAAATATACATCATTTATGCTCTTTTAGCATATGTGATGCAGTGACAGTAATCATATCCAGAGATTATTATTATGTATTTTATAGCACCAACATGTGCTGTGATGTGTGCAATCAGAATACTAAAAATACATTTTGATAAACACATTAAGGTGAACTGAAACAATATATGATTTGAACCATGCTTAAATGAGCTAACAATATACAGATATATGGAAAATATATAGAAGATATGTGATAAATAAATAATTCTTTATGGTCATACTCATTTATGGAGGGGCTAGGGGGTTTGTCCTCTTTGAAGTGCTTTTAATGCCTATCCAGCTTCTCACCATAATTTTCTGTGCAATTTTTACATTTTATTACCAGCTTGTCTGCAAACAATCTCCCTTTCCAAAGCTTCACAGTGTTTCTGAGCGATTCCCTGTACAGTTTTAATTCCTCAATATTCTTAATACTTTTACATAATGTTCCACCTCCAATTGACTTCTGTCTTCTCCTGTCTCTATATGTATATCCCCTCTCGCACTTTTGCTCCTGCCTTCTGTTCCTTTGCACTCATCACATCTGCTCTCTAGATGCCCTGCCAAGCAACTTCTTTTTCACTTGTGCAAATAGGTCACGGTCCCTGCACAGCATTACAGCTGCATTAACTCCTTTGATGTCAGAAAGCCTATCAATCCGCTGCTCCTTATGCCCTCCACTCTCTACTCGGCCTGATTTGTGCATGCATTGGGTGCAAGAAAAGATGTCTGATTGGTTACTCAGATGTGATGTCACAGTCATTTCTCAGTATTTCTCACTGACTTCTACGTCTGGACGGTCAATTGATCCAGCCATCCTCCATTATTCGCCCCTCTATGCGCCTCCATCCGTGGAGATTAATCTTATCTACAGATTGTAATGCAGCAAAGGCACTAAAAGGCAATTGTTTTTGGTTCTCTGAATTTATCTTTTTTTTTTATTTTGATGGAATAGATTTGTGCTTTAATGTGAAAAAAAAAAAATATTTAATTTTTTTTTTTTCAACAAGAAGCAAACTTTGTAACTTAAATTTATTATCCTCCATGGCATTTTTTTTAAAAGCACCAACATACTCCGATATCTTTCACAATGAATAATGAAATTAAAACATATAAGTATATATTGACAATCAAGTTTATAAAAAAAAAATCTAAAAAATGCTGAGGTGTAGACTCTTATAACAAGCTTATATTATTAATCTGGCTAAATATAACATAGTGTATGTAGTATTATGTACATAGTGTATGTAGTAATAAAAAATCAATCTACACACTTTTTTTCATTCAGAGACAACATTTCATTCAGTAGAATAATGTATTTTACTGAGCACAGTTTTTTCCCCTGATGGCTTGGTACTCAGGTTCTGGGTGAGCAGTTAATGGATCCGAGTTTCTGCGCCCATGGGTTGACATGCATTGGGTACGTGGATGGCGGCTCTTTTTCGATGCAAATGGTGTGTTTGGGGCTGGGAGGAGGGCTAGCTGCAGGCATATAAATTAAACTAACCAGAACTACATGGGCTTATTGATTCTTATATTCCATATGGGAATTTGTGTTAACTGGACAGTTTATATTTATACTGTGACACCACCAAAATCTGCCGGCAGCCTTGCCCTGAATATGCAGAAATCCATTAAATCATCTATGTGCTCTGTCTGTGTGTCACAATCTCTCTGCACATTGCTAAAATTAAGTTATACTTTGCAAGTGAACTGTATATATATTACATATATATATGTGTGTTTGTATATATATATATATATATATATATATATATTACTTGCTGCAGTTACTTGTGTCTCTCTACCCATAGTACTACTAATTGGTTTATATATTAATGCTAAGTATAGTATATAATTTTACCATACTAGTTTTGGTTATCAATTTTAGGACATTTTGAGCAGTAGAGGTTTACTTACCTATCTGTCACTTAAACAGTTGATCTGTAAATTGAACAAAAGTTAAACAACAATAAATGGGACCCTCTGTTTAGATCGGGTATTGGCGGTTGGGGGGTTTCTCACACGTTTTGTAGCTAATAAATACCAGTATTAGAAAACGTGTCCAGGCACGCCAATGTCTTCAGGTACCTTTATTAGAAGATGTGGAACAATGCAGCTTTTCAACTCCCAATGAGGTCTTTGTCAAGGTTTTGTAGCTACGTCATGGCTCTGGTTCAAGTGCACTTACTGGCATGCAGGGAGGTTACAGCCTATTGCTGGTCCATCTTGCTCTCGAGTGGGCTCTGGAAGTTTTTCCTTCCACATGAGCAATGATTAGTACAAATATTTTATTTTCTAAATTAATAAGACTATGTTTTTTTCTAAATGTTTTTAGTCTAAAATTGGGGGTCGTCTTATACACGGAATGTCATTGCCGGGGTTTTAAAAAGTTAATATGGCACTTGCAATTACATGACATGCGCACAGTCGTTATTCGGATTGTGGCATTTCCCAAAAAACCCCACCCCAAAAAACACAGACACCAAATTCTTTGTTGGAAATATATAAAGTCCACAGCTTTATTTTAATGTAATTATAAACAAGATAACAGATAACAAATTAGGGTCATTGCCATATAATAATAAATTTACCCCAACCCCCTTCCGTACAGCATTACCCCTGGCAATGACCCCATGCCATAAACAATATATAACAATATAAATAACACATAATATATAACACACGGCCTACCAAAGAGGCCCCATAACCATAACTTTCTTAACTGTAGGGGTGTACCGAGACACCCCTACACCACCAGGTTCGTAGCCACCGAAGAGCTCGAACCAACAGACCACTTACCACTCTGGCCTAATCCAGCCTAACCTTAGCCTAGCCACTTAATACTCCTCTTCCATCCCAATTACCCTAGCCCTATCCCGCCATAGCCCGAGACTTGATACCTTAACGTCTCGAGCGCCCCCCACCATACAAAAATAGGGCCTGAGCTATGCCCTCCTGAAAACCTAAATTTAGTAAATCGCACCCCACTTCGGAAAGGTGCACCCCATCCTTGCGAAAGTACCCAGGCAACATGCCCTCTAACTCCCAGTGTCGTACTGTAACCCCGCCCGACCTCCGGACGAAAACTGACATAGCTCTATTCACTTTTCCCCGGCATCGCGCCACAGCAGCTGGGTCCCTGGCATGTCTCCAATTAAATCTCGGCACCATCTCGGACCATACTACCACCACGCCAGGCACCAGCTCCCGTAGCCGATCCAGATCCCGCTTCATTCTCCTAAGTAGTTCCCTCTGAGGAATCAATCCCAAATCGTTAAGTAGTATATCAGGGGAAGCCCCCCCTGACACCATCCTAAATATTACTCCACTAATGTTCTGCCAACTGAAACCACGAAAACCAAACCACTGTAACTCCACCGTTTCCAGAAGAAAACCCAGCTGCGTTCCATTCCTCCGAACTGCGGCCCTCTTCTGCGCCCAAAAAATGTAAGAGTGACCCACCAACCAGGCAACCATACCTGTAAAGAAACAGAATCAATTAACTTGCGGGGCACGTATTGAAAACCTCCCAACCCGACCCTGACCACGTTATACCAACCAATCTGGTCTCACATACGAACGAAAACGAATGGACTCCCACCGACCGATCTGCTTAATCCGTTCGTCCCCCAGGCCCAGTCGTGCCTCCTCCGTTGCCGCCCCGATGCGAAACGAATGAGTGACAAATTGCATGGGATGTAGGCCCAACCGCTTAAGCCCCATGCGAAATACCCGGATAAATTGAAAACGTGACAGTGCAAAACCGTCTTCATGGATAAAAAAGCACCCCGACTCCTCTGGGCGAACGTGTAAGAACTCGCGCCCGCACGCCACCGGACAGACCTCCGACCCAGGTAACGAGAACAATACCACCTTTCTTCCTCTCCCAAAAACATCCGTCTTGGAGCGTCTCAGTTGAATCTCGACTTTGTCCCGGCCAACGACTACGTCCTCAAACTTGAGCCCGTTAACTCCGGACTTGTTACTGCTGACCAGCTCACCAATGCGGAACGCCCCGAAGAAGGCCCAAACAAACGCTACCGAAAATAAAACCACCTCAAACGACGATGTGCACACATCGCGCAGCCCCCGTACCAGCCCTTGCAGGATGGCAAATGACACCGGCCGCCTCGTGTCCACGGTCCTCTTCCCTTTACGGAAGCCGCGCAGAGCTTGTTTCACTATAAAACTCTTGGTAAAGTCCTCCCATCCATTAAACTTAAACCAAAACGCCAGAGCTGACATGTAACGGTCCACCCTGGAGGGCGAGGCCCCGCCTGCCAGTAACCGACACAACAACCATAACAATGTGTCAAACCTTCCTGCTGCAGAGGACTCCCCTCCCGTTTGCCCTACCATCTCCTCCCATTCCGTCCAAACCTTAGTGTACGCTGCCCAGGTGCCTGGCGCTAAGGAACTCCTTACGAAATCCCCAAGCACGATGTCCCGAGCTGCCATATGTCTTCTGGGCATGCCTGATCCGTATCTCATGCGCCCGGAGCTGCCTCCCGAAAACGTTCCCACTGTGAACGAGACAGCGCGTCAGCAACAACATTCAACAAGCCCGGAACATGCCGGGCCCTGAAAACAATATTCCATGACATACAAAGAAGAACCAAGTGTCTCAACAACCGTACTACAGGCAGCGACGAAGCCGAAATACTATTGATCGCTTGTACCACCGCCATGTTGTCCGAGTGGAAAATCACCTTCCTGTTCGCGAGTTCCTCGCCCCACAGAGCTACTGCCACCACCACTGGGAAGAACTCCAGGAAGGCCAGATTCCTGATTAAGGAGCTTTCCTTCCAAGACCTAGGCCACTCCTCCGTGCACCATTTCCCCCCCAGGTACGCCCCAAAACCCACGCTCCCCGAGGCGTCGGTAAATAAACCTATGTCCTCCGACGTCGCTGCTGAATCTCTAAAATAGACACGGCAGTTAAACTCCCGTAAAAAGTGTATCCATACGTCCAAATCCGCCCTCATGTCAGCTGAGACCCTGATGTAATGACCCGGAGACCGCACTCCGGAGACCGCACTCCACATGTAGCTCGAGCCAACTGCCTGCAAAAGACCCTCCCCATAGGGATAATTTTACATGCAAAGTTCAGGCTCCCCAACAGAGACTGCAGGCCCCTTAAGGTCACCTTCCTGGAACCCCGTACTTCCCCCACCCGTTGGCGGAGAGCCAACAGCTTATCCACCGGCAACCGACATTCCCCTTTAACCGAGTCGATTTCCAGCCCCAGGAAGTTCAAGCACTCCGTCGGACCCACTGTAAAACCCGCAGTATCTGCCCACAACGGTCGGAGCCCGCTGGCCCTACGCACAAAAAGTCATCCAAATAGTGCACCACCGCACCCCCAGCTGACTCCTGCCGTACCACCCAGTCGAAAAAGGAGCTGAACTTTTCAAAGTACGAGCAGGAAATAGAACAGCCCATGGGCAAACATAGGTCGACGAAAAAGGCTTCGTCGAAACAACACCCCAATAAATGGTGACATTCCGGGTGAATAGGAAGTAACCTAAAAGCTGCTTCCACGTCAACCTTCGCCATTAACGCCCCCCGCCCGGCTCTCCGAACCAACTCGACCGCCTGGTCGAATGATGCATATGAGACCGAGCTTAGTGCTGCGTCAATGTCATCATTGACTGACGCCCCCTTTGGGTAAGACAAATGGTGTATTAAGCGGAATTTGCCTGGTTCCTTCTTGGGAACCACCCCGAGCGGAGACACCCTCAAGTTTGGCAGTGGCGGGGCCACAAAAGGTCCTGCCATCCTACCCAGCTTTACCTCCGCCAGCAATTTGTCCTGCACCACCCCTGGATGTTCCCGTACGGATCGCAGGTTCGCACATAAAGCCCCTGGTCCCTTCCCCTTAAATGGAATAGTAAACCCCTCTGTAAACCCCCTCCTCAAAAACTCTGCGTCCGCTCGGTTAGCATAACGCTTTAGCCACGGCAGCATCACGCCTACCTTCACTGGGGTTGCCCCCAGCGGTAGCTGCGGGGGCCGCTGCGTTGCTGGGACCTCCCCCGGAAGCCGGCTTACCTCTCTTGAAACACCTGTTAGCCCCATGTGTACCACCGCAACCAGAGCACTCATGTTTGAATCTGCACGATGTACCCCACTTGCATTGGCCCTCGTTGAAGAGCCAGCAAAAACCCTTCTTTTGCCCGGCCGGTGTGGATCCTCCGGGTACCGCACCGGCCGCCCCGTGAAAGGGCGCAGCCTTCTGCGCCATCATCAGTCTCATCCATAAGGGTAGGTCCATTTGATCCCACCGCATACTAGGATTCGCCGCTAAACGCTGGCGGAACTGCTCATCGTATTTCCACCATGCTACTCCCCCGTATGTTCGGTACGCGTCCCCAATCCCGTCCAGATAACAAAAAAGTTGTGAGCAGCGGTCGGGGAATTTTTCCCCGATAACACTGGCCAATATACAAAATGCCCGTAGCCAGTTCGCAAACGTTTTGGGGATCTTCCTATACCTACGCTTTTTCTCTTCTTCCTCCTTCTTTGCGTCCTTCTTGTCCTCCTCTTTCAGGTCAAGAAACTCCTCCAGAGGAAGAAGGGCAAAAACTTCCACGAACTCACCTTTCCAAATCTTGTCCTTCAACTCGGCCTTAAGATGACAGCCTAAGGGGCCCGCGAAAGAAACGTGCACATTTTGCCGCGCCGCGTCGGTAATCTCGCCGCCTACGTCCGTCTTTTCGCCCAGCCCCCCTACCGACCCGGATGCGGCTACCCCGGTGTCACCAATCCCCGTGCTTGCCTGTCCCGCGGACGTAAGACCCGCCACCGGACCCCACACCCTCGAGAATTGCGGTGAAGCCCCCTCCCTACTGGCCCAAGAATCTAAGAACGACTTTAAACCGCTTAACCATGAATCTGTGTGTGGTGTACCAGATGACTCACCGCCAGAGCCCCCGGCCGCGGAGGGCCGCGAAGTCGTTATCCTTCCATCCGCCGCGCACGGCTCCGGAGTGTCCAAGAGACGCCGACTCCTTTCTGCCTGGTCCCGCTTCGGGACCGTTGGCGTAATGCTCCGCGACCTGTAAGGAGAAGAACACCTGGGTAGTCTGTTCATGGGTCCCCCTACCCGCCCTTCCTCCCTACTCTCCCTTCCAGCGTTCCTACGCCTGCCCCGCTTAGTTGCCTGGCCCTCCTGGCCGCAATTGCTATCCCGCTGTCCTTGGGAGCTCTCGTCTGAGGACCCAGAAGCGCTGCGCCGTTCCGTCCTCCCCCTGTCCCTGCAGGCCGGCCTCGGCCTACAGCAACTATCAGCTGACAGGCTCCTCTCCCTGGCGCTCCATGTACCCTCCTGCCTGGCGCTTTCCCTGCGCCGTTCCCTGCTGACTCCAGGTCTGGGGTTGTGTATAACGCCTGGGCGCCCCTGGGAGGTGCACCTGCGGTCCCCCCGTATCCTCCTAACCCCAGCGTCCGAATCCGCATCAGACCATTGAGACAGGACCCCTCGTGACACCAACCCGTCAGTAAGGGAGTCCCTGCGCTGTCCCAGGCAGCCAGAATCCACTGCTGCTGCTGCCTTGGCCTGCCTCTGACGTCCTAGCTGGGAAACCCGGTCGGCTGTCCCCCTGCCGTCATGCCTGGCCCTAACCCCGGCCGTACCCACTGTGCCCTTACTTGCAGGAGCCCCCTCTGCCCCCAGGGGAGCTGTCAGCCCGTCCCCCACATCCACCTGCCTGTCCCTTTGCCGCCCGGGTGTAACACCGGAGGCAGACTCACCGGGACGCCCTTGGGCTATGTCATCTCCTCCACTGGCCTCTGCACACCCGGCTGTCCTGGAGGCCGCCGCCAATCCTGGCATCCTGCCGCTCGCTGTCCGCCGGGCAGCGCTCCGCGTGGTAGGCCGCAGAGCCGTCACCGGCCTAACCGCCGTCCGTGCCCGACCGGCACCGCGTCGAACAGATGGTGCCGGCGGCGTGTTATCTGCCTCCTCCCGGCCGGCCCCCACAGCCAGGGACCCGCCCGCGTCCGCGGACGGGCTCAGACGCCGCCGTGCTGCGGGCATCACGCCCGGACTCAGCCGCTGGGGCGGTCTCGCCCTCCTCACCGACCGCCGTTCCACTGCCGCAGGGGGGGGATCACTGGTCCCAGGAACCCCCAGCTGCTGATGAAGCCAGGCCATCCCCCTGTCACGCACAGCCGCTCTGACCCCGTCCATGATCTCGTCCAGCGAAGCCATCTGCAAAATAAAGAACAAGAAACCACACAGACCTGCCAAAAACAATTAACAGGTAAGTGCAGATTCTGGTTAAAATGGCCACTTGCTAAAATGGCAGCTTAATATACTCCCTCTATTCTCCACCCCTTATTACAATCCATTCCTAAATTCCCGTCCCTAAAATTTTAACTCCACCTGCCTACTCCTTGGCTCTGTCAAGGCCCATTCCCCTGACTGCGCTGATCCATGGGCTTCAGGAACTCATTTAGTCATGATAGGGTCTGTTTACGTTCGGTCTATAACAAAATAGTTTCATTACATTGTTTGGTTTCCTCCAAACATAATCTCACTTGAATATCCTTAATACTAACATATCTTTAGGATTTAGTAGTAGTTTGGTTGTTATTAATATTTTTGCTCTATTTCCCAGGCTCATCCACACATCATTCTCTCACACACCACAACAAACTCTTCACTATAGTTACTTACAACTCTATCAACTTGTTGTCACTGAACACACATTAGAATGCTTTTAAGCCTGCAGTTGTGGAAAGTGTTTGCTACCTTGACGTGAAAATAATCCAAGAGAACCGTGCAGGTGTTACTATGATGCTCAAATGCTGTGGAGGGTGGTGGGAGTGATTACGTGAGCGGGAGGACCTGAATGTGATGACGTGACCACAATTATGTGATGAGTCTGTGAGTATCGCGTCCCATTTCTATGGTGACCCTCGGACGATAAAAATGTGCAGTGAGTGCACAACAGTGCTCGTGTTAGGGACTAATAAAAATAGGAGGAGGGGGACAGTAAAGATAATAAAAATGAACATGGAGATGATCTAGGTCTGGTTTCTATATGGTAAAAAAATGTGTCAGTCCGAAATAATAGAGTCCAAATAAGATTAAGAGAAGTGAAACCGAGTGACAGAGCAAAATGATGAATAGAAAAAAAGAGATGAGTAAAGGAGATGGATGAAACAAGAAAAATATAGAACATAAAGAAAAAAAGATAAGTGAGTGTAGTGTAGACCAAGATAATGGAGTGCAGCAAAAACAACAAGTGAGTGTGAAGAGAATACCCAATAAATGTGAGAAGTGAATGGAGGACTGAAAGGGTGAATGAAGTGACATGATAAAAGTACTGAAAACCAGGTGAGCAGATTGAGAATATGAGAAATAAACATAGTGATGCAGAAAATAATGAATAGTCTATACATATATATCTAGATAACATCAACCATGTCTCGAGAAACAAGATTTTGTTTAATAATTCATCAAAAATGTAAGAAGAAAAAAAGTAGTAAAAAATGTTTATATGTACTACATAAGTATCATATTCATAGAATTCTGCAATTAGCCAAAATAATTATAATCTGTCAGCTGAAGAGTAGGCAAGAGAAAGCAGGTAAAATACCAAAATGTTATCTGTATAATAAAAAAGCGATGCCATGCTGTTGACCTTAATAGGTATCAATAAAAATAAAAAATATAACCAAATCACATGGAAAAAATGCAACAAAAAAAAAAAAACTAACAAAAAAGGAAAAAAATGGTGCTAGAACTCAATGGGGTTAATGTCCATCTCTGAGTTGACTTTAAGTATAGATATATCTGTAGAAAAATCAAAACTTATAAGAAAAAATAAGAAAAAAAGAGGGGGAAAAAGTTATATCCTAGAACTTTTATTGTGTGTCCAAGAATGAGCTGAATGACACATATTCATTAAAGGACCACTCTAGGCACCCAGACCACTTCAGCTTAATGAAGTGTTCTGGGTGCCAGGTCCCTCTAGGATTAACCCTTTTTTTAATAAACATAGCAGTTTCAGAGAAACTGCTATGTTTATAATAGGGTTAATCCAGCCTCCAAATCCTCTAGTGGCTGTCTCATTGACAGCCGCTAGAGGCGCTTGCGTGATTCTCACTGTGAAAATCACAGTGAGAACAAGCAAGCGTCCATAGGAAAGCATTGTAAATGCTTTCCTATGAGACCGGCTGAATGCGTGCGCAGCTCCTGCCGTGCGTGCGCATTCAGCCGAAGGAGAGGAGAAGAGGCGGAGAGGAGGAGGAGAGCTCCCCACCCGGCGCTGGAAAAAAGGTAAGTTTTAACCTTTTCCTCTCCCCAGAGCTGGGTGGGAGGGGGACCCAGAGGGTGGGGGCACCCTCAGGGCACTATACAGGGAGTGCAGAATTATTAGGCAAGTTGTATTTTTGAGGATTAATTTTATTATTGAACAACAACCATGTTCTCAATGAACCCAAAAAACTCATTAATATCAAAGCTGAATATTTTTGGAAGTAGTTTTAGTTTGTTTTTAGTTTTAGCTATGTTAGGGGGATATCTGTGTGTGCAGGTGACTATTACTGTGCATAATTATTAGGCAACTTAACAAAAAACAAATATATACCCATTTCAATTATTTATTATTACCAGTGAAACCAATATAACATCTCAACATTCACAAATATACATTTCTGACATTCAAAAACAAAACAAAAACAAATCAGTGACCAATATAGCCACCTTTCTTTGCAAGGACACTCAAAAGCCTGCCATCCATGGATTCTGTCAGTGTTTTGATCTGTTCACCATCAACATTGCATGCAGCAGCAACCACAGCCTCCCAGACACTGTTCAGAGAGGTGTACTGTTTTCCCTCCTTGTAAATCTCACATTTGATGATGGACCACAGGTTCTCAATGGGGTTCAGATCAGGTGAACAAGGAGGCCATGTCATTAGATTTTCTTCTTTTATACCCTTTCTTGCCAGCCACGCTGTGGAGTACTTGGACGCGTGTGATGGAGCATTGTCCTGCATGAAAATCATGTTTTTCTTGAAGGATGCAGACTTCTTCCTGTACCACTGCTTGAAGAAGGTGTCTTCCAGGAACTGGCAGTAGGACTGGGAGTTGAGCTTGACTCCATCCTCAACCCGAAAAGGCCCCACAAGCTCATCTTTGATGATACCAGCCCAAACCAGTACTCCACCTCCACCTTGCTGGCGTCTGAGTCGGACTGGAGCTCTCTGCCCTTTACCAATCCAGCCACGGGCCCATCCATCTGGCCCATCAAGACTCACTCTCATTTCATCAGTCCATAAAACCTTAGAAAAATCAGTCTTGAGATATTTCTTGGCCCAGTCTTGACGTTTCAGCTTGTGTGTCTTGTTCAGTGGTGGTCGTCTTTCAGCCTTTCTTACCTTGGCCATGTCTCTGAGTATTGCACACCTTGTGCTTTTGGGCACTCCAGTGATGTTGCAGCTCTGAAATATGGCCAAACTGGTGGCAAGTGGCATCGTGGCAGCTGCACGCTTGACTTTTCTCAGTTCATGGGCAGTTATTTTGCGCCTTGGTTTTTCCACACGCTTCTTGCGACCCTGTTGACTATTTTGAATGAAACGCTTGATTGTTCGATGATCACGCTTCAGAAGCTTTGCAATTTTAAGAGTGCTGCATCCCTCTGCAAGATATCTCACTATTTTTGACTTTTCTGAGCCTGTCAAGTCCTTCTTTTGACCCATTTTGCCAAAGGAAAGGAAGTTGCCTAATAATTATGCACACCTGATATAGGGTGTTGATGTCATTAGACCACACCCCTTCTCATTACAGAGATGCACATCACCTAATATGCTTAATTGGTAGTAGGCTTTCGAGCCTATACAGCTTGGAGTAAGACAACATGCATAAAGAGGATGATGTGGTCAAAATACTCATTTGCCTAATAATTCTGCACTCCCTGTAGTGCCAGGAAAACAAGTATGTTTTCCTGGCACTATAGTGGTCCTTTAAGGACTCTCGGAAGGACAGTGTCAAGTGTTTTGATCCAGTACGTTTCTCTTTGGAGCAGCAGTTTTGATCTGTCACCACCCCTGGATAGAGGGGGGACTTGGTATATTGCCATGAACCTCAATGTAGGGATCCAATGTTGTGCTTAGCCACCGGTTTATCAGTTCTTCTGTCTCTAAAAGCAGTCATGATTCCTGATCTGTGACCACATATTCTGTCACAAACGGTAAGATCTGTTTTCCCTACTGTGGCGGAACACTGGCACTCCGACCGAGTACCTCCGCCAATCGATGCTCCTAGTGCTTGCTGAGGACTCCAAGCACTCCACCAGACACCATAAGTACTGCAGACCCCACTTCCAGTGATGCAGCTGCGCTGGGGTCTCGCCGTCTTTCACCCACCCTGGATCCAAGGCCAAGATCCAGCTTCCAGTGGGCAAGCCTCTATTCTCCTAGAGAGCGTAGCAGGAACAATAACAGCTCTTACAAGAGCTTACCCTGCGGAGTATATTGTGAATATAGCAATCCCCAGAGTGTAGTTATCCCATCACTCAAACATGAGCCAAGGCTTCAAGAAAGGGTCAAGTAGTTCTGTTTAATGCACAGCAATGGTCTTCTTTTATGCAGGTTTTACACGCATAGTACCACCTACAGGGGTTTTGTGGAACAGCCAATCAAACACATACAATACAGTTAAACACTCCCATTCATTACAGCAAAATCCTCCCCTCTGCCTGTGATATAATTACTGAACACAATGGGCTAACGTAATTATAACAGGCAGGAAAATACACTGTTTCACACAATATTCATAACTTTAAAAGTATACATCACATTCACACAAAACTTACATTTTCAGAATCAGCATACTCCAAGTACAC